TAGGTTTAAAGTCTCCGGGCTGTATAGCATTGTTCGTCTTTGGAATCAACGCTAAAAAAGTAGAATTTATCCCCGCACTGATTACCCCCTTTTATGGAAATCACAGAAGACTTTGAAAAGATCCATCTTTGATTATACCCCAACAATCTTGATAGGACGCCATGGTGAATCCATCAGGCCCAGGGGCTTTTGATCTATTCATAGAGAAAATTGCTTCCTTGATCTCTTCCTCTCCAAAAAATGCAGTTGATCCTCACCCAAAGTCTCCCCCTCCAACGCTTCAACCAGCCACTTTTCATTTAAGGCCTTCTATAGATAGATCTGAAATGCTCCGAGAAAGCCTCTGCAATCTCTGTCTACTTTGTAACCTCACTCTTCCCCACCATTAGTGGGCTAATCCAGCTCTTCCTTCTCCTTCCATTTGCAATGCATGGAAAAATTTTGTATTACCATCCCCATCTTTGATCCACCTCTCCCTTGATTTTTGCTTCCAACTTATTTCCTCTCTTAACAGAATTTCCCCTAGCTCCTTTTTTAGAGACCATCTCAACTCCCTATCACCGTCATCAAGAGAACCCACCACTTTGCTATCAATCGCCTCAATTTTGGGAGACCAGATCAACTTTTTTCTCCTCCAATCTTCCAAATTTCTCCCTATTCCACTCTCTAATCTCCTTCACCAATTGAAGTTTTTTTAGGAAATTTTGGCCCTCCCATAATGAAGATTGATCCAAGCTATTCCACCAAACTTTGACCTTCTCTTCGAAATCCGAATGAGTAAGCCACATGTTTTCAAACCTAAAAGGAATTGGGCCGCCATCATCACTCCTCTGAAACAAACAAATAGTCCAGAGATCTGATGTAATTCTAGGTAGAGTTCTCCCAGCTAGGCCAGTCCATTGTTCTTCCCTATCTAGAGAGACTAAGAACCTGTCAAGCATAGATAAGATGGGGTTTTCTTAGATAAGTTTCTCCACTTCATTTACATAGTTTTCAAGGCGCCAAGGCGAGGCTGGGCGTTAGGGGGGTGCCTTGTCGCCTAGTCACCTAGGTGATGGATTTTTTTATATAGAAAACATAGATCCTAGGGTAGTTCCATAGGTACCATAGCCATATTTCCTTAATAATTATTCATAATTTTCATAAGAAAAGTATAGAGTTCATGTTAAAGTATAGAAAATGTGTTGATTAGAAAAAATTTTAAGTTCTTCCTTACTTATTGGTTCACGTTTTAAAGTCTTTGAGGGTTCAATACAGCATTTAGCAATGTTTGTATTGATTACATCCTAACAAATAAGAAAATAATAAAAACAAATTAGTATATAAACACACAAAATGAATATTTTAGTTTAATAGTGCCTATTTTATAATTATAATGTCAAAAAATAAAGACTAAAAAAGTATTTTACAATACATAGTACAAAACTGCTTGGCGATTAGGCGAGGCGAGACCTCTTGTACCCCAAATGCTCCTGATCCATCTTCTGCCCAGCTCCTGAACTTTTGTTTCTTGCAAGAGGACCACATCTGGTTTCTCCTTTCTGAGAGCCTCTCTGATCAGTCTTCTTTTTTTCTCACTCCCTAACCCTCTCACATTCCAACTTAGGATCTTCATACCTCCTCTGCACCTGAACCCAAAAAAGAGAACTTAACCTAACAGCCTTCCCCACTACCTAACAGCCTTCCCCACTTCTACCCCTCCTTTTATTGCTTTCCTTATCATAGTCAATCTCACTTACCAGCTTTTCAACTTCGCTCTTCTTCCTTCTTCTATTCTTCTCCTTTCTTGAGTAGACCTAAAGGTTTTTCAAAGACGGTCCTCTTCTTTTTCCTCCTATGCAAAGCTCTATTTTTCACATAATCTTTCCTAGTTTATTGGTCTCTTTCTTCAGATACACACTCTCTTGTTTGGTCTCCCCACAACCTCTGTTCCCTCTCTTCTCCTTCTAACTCCGGAGCGTTCGGAGTTTTTAAACCACCTTTCTGCTCTTTCTCTACCCTCCCTGTCTCTCCCAGGTCTTATGTTTCCAAATCACTTCCAGGCTCTGTGGCAGGCAGATTGAAAGCATCATTTTTGGCCTTTGAGATAAGGCTGGATCTACAGACACAGGGGAGGACACAGTTTCAGCAAACTTAGTATAAGTTTTTGAAGGAATAACAGAACGAGACACATTTGAAGGAAACACAGAAGGGTAGAGAACTCCCTGTTCACTGCTTTCGCAAGTCCCTCCCAAAACAATCTCAAGCTGGTCAGACCCCTGTAAAGGTGAGAATTGTGCAGCTTCTTTTGAGAAATGGGTTTGTGTTGCTTTGTTTTGCATCCAGTTGCAACCCATGCCCTCAGCTCCTTGAACCTCCTTACATCTCAAAGTGGGACAGTCTAATTTTTCTTCCTTAGTTATAGGCAAGACCTTTCCGTAGTTAATAGCATCCTCACCAACCTCAACCTCCTTCACCAAAGCTGTAGGCAAGTCCTTTTGCAAATAAGATCTCCATTCCCAGATCTTCATCTTCCAGTCCTTCTGCTCGCCTTAGTCGAATTAAGGCTTCCTATGCTCGAGGGTTGGTAGAACTCTTCATCCCCCTCCAACTGTACATAATCCCAATCACTATCTGTATCAGTCTCCTCTTTTTCTTTCCTGTCAAATTTTGGTTTTGGACGATCTGGTTTGGTAGAGTTCTTTCCTGCTACAGACTTCCACACTAACCTTGTTGTCGTCCAAACACCTGACGTTTGAGAAGTTCCAGCTGAGAGCTTGGCCTTCGAGCAGACCTCTGCACCTTTCTAGGCTTCAAAGGCACCCAGCGAACTAATCAATGGGGACTATGATAGGTTCTGCTTACCGTCCCCCATCGACTTCAAAGAACAGGGCACGTGACTCACTAAAGAATCACGACGCACCTTATCTCCAAGGACCGGGCCCATGCCCCCAATTAAACCGGACCGGACTGGACCATCTTGCTTAGGCCGCTCTAGAACCAGCCCCTTTAAACTTGGCGCCCTTTTAATTGGCTTGTTGGACACGCCACCTTCTGAAATAGCTTCTGCATAAGTTTTCACAGGTGCCGTCCGATTCTTGTTATCAAGGGTCCTATTTTCATTAAAAGGGAAAACTTGTAGCAGCTCTTTTCTCCCCATCAGCGATTGAGATTCCACTTCGAGACACCTGTTTAAAACCTCCTTTGACCTATTCGATTCCACGTGACACCTATCCTCCAAGCCATTCCTCCCGGCCAACACACCCCGCCACATGTCACCCAACCATCCACCTCACCTTCACCGTCTTCCTTTCTCCTCCCTTCCCAAAAAGACACTTCAACTTCCAAAGCGAGCCACACCTTATACCACACACCTCCAGATTGAATGTTTAACAATCTTGCTATCTGCTCCGGCAAACCTCCAACCACTTCTAACTTTACAGCAGTCAGGTTCTTGACATTGAAAGCCAACAGCAGACCTCCCAACACAAGAGCACATTTATGAAAAATGGTTTCCTTCCAATAAATGGAAAGGCAGACCACATAAGTTGAGGATGAAGGCGCCACTGAAGGTCGGAATCTCATTTGACAAGGGGCACCACCTGTTTAACCCCACTACACCCTCTCTGGTCTCAACATTTGAAACTTCCAAAACCAAACTTCCGACATCCAACAGAGCTTTATCCCCTGCAAAAGGTTTAAAGAGAACCACTCTGTTTATTGCAAGCTTCTCTGTCACATCTTCCAAAATATGTTCCCAAATTGGGGATTCTTTTTTGAAGTGATCACATATCTCCTCTCCCATTCTTCTTTAGCACCTTCTACAGAAGGTTTTGCTTCTGTAGCTGAGAACCAGACAGACTCAACAAGATCTGTTTTAATCTCCTTTTGAGACCCTACTGTCTCCTGACTGCTAACATCCCCTGTTTTCTTGATCGCCGAGTCCTTCGCAAATGTAATAGAATCCCCAACAGATCTGTTAATTGAAATACTCAAATCATCTGATAAAGTCAAGAACTGTTGGAAGGCATCTGCTCTCTAATTCCACCCTAGTCTCCTTTTACCCTCAGGGATGCAAACCAACCTTTTCTTGCCAGGATTAAAAAACTCAGCCAGTTGCACATATGCACCACTCCTATTCTCCAGAATTTCATCCCAGCAAGTGGTATCGCCTTCCCTGTAAGGCTGTAACTATCTTTCCAGTTTACCTTCCATTGAGAGTGTATAGCTCCTTCGATGAAGCCTTTGAACCACAGTACAGCTTTCCCTTTAAGCAAAACAGTCGCCTTCGATTGCTCAACGAACTTCAGGACAGACCCATGTCTGGTTCTTACCTCTTCCAGAACAAAGTTTTTGGCCTCAACTTTGATTTTCTTCCTCCAGACATTTGCTCGAACAAAACTCCTCCCAAAGTCCATCCCGCTTCAAACTTTATAGTCCCATTGTATTGTATATCATATTCTTGTTCTTTTATTCTTTTTCCTTTTCAGCCCTATAAGGGCTTTCTTGTAATTGTACATAATATATAATATAAAGGGCTCTTTGGGGTGGGGGTTGAACTATACTGGACACCCCTTTAACTTTGCTTTGTTCTCTCTTTGTCTAGTATAACTGAGAAGATTGCCTAGAATGGTTTCAAAACATTCTCATATGCCATATCATTGAGCATACTAGTTATTCAAACTTTGGCTGAACTATACATATCAAATTGGTTCATGCTCAAATAGTGAGAAGCTCAGTCAAATTTGTTGTTGAAAAAGCAAATTCAAAAAAGACCAAAATCTTGGCATAGCAAGGCTAACCTAACAAATTTATACGCCCTGTATTATATTTAACGTACTTTATTACAATCAATAAATTTATATTGTTACCTATCAGGGAAAAATCTTAAAAGATTATGAAACAAGCCTAGATATTGTTTACTTAGCCTAAGGGTGACGGTGAACCTTATCATTTACAAGTACACAAATAGATCTTTAGCGGTATTCCAGAGAATGAAGTAAAACGTTAGAACTTCGTACCTTTATTGTGCGGTCTGCGGAGCCAGTACAGAACCATGTATTGCTAGGATTAAATGCAATAGATCTAACCCATCCTAAATGGCCACTAATGACCTGCACAAGTTAATGGAAAGAATGTCAATAAGCGATTACATACCCCCCACCCTGAAAACACACACATAATGAGAAGCAACAAGGAACACGAGATGTAAAATAAAGGTGCTTGCTGAACTCGGAGGAGCTCATATAGCTAAAAATCTTTAAGCAATAGCATTGCTAAACCCAGGAAAATATTGGCATCTCTCTAAATGCACAACACATAGATATCAAGGGAGTTGGATGCTATTGCAGATAGGTTAGCTAGATCAGGTGTAGATCTACCACCTCTGCATTATGAAAGCCCAATGCCATATTAAATTTTTCATCGGAGGATTGAGCTGTATAGTCATCTATTTTTGCACCAACTCAACAAATACTGTGAGAAGTGTCATTGGGAGCAATCTATCAATATTATGGATATCTATGACCCTTAAACCCAAATGGTTGCAGTTAATTCATCTTGGAAACTCTTTACTTTGAAATCAGTTGTTTCAAATTTTCAATCCATGTCTCCATAAATTGAAACACAAAACATTGAAACAACATTGATAAATTCTTTTCTTCCTTCCATATCATACACCAAAAACTTACAGATTTCATAAACCATACACCAAAAAGCATAATTGATAAATTCTTGTCTCTTGGGATATCAAGATTGGGCTTTGGCCTTGAAAGATTTTAACACTTCTAAAAGAAGGAATTCTGTTTTCAATTCATTGGCCTTTGTAATCAGACTAGGATTAAAGAAACAAGAGGCGAACAGAGAGAGAGATTGGAGAAGAAGACTATGGGAGTGGTGGCACCTACTTTCTTATTGTATTAGGGTGATATAAACATTAAGTAAAAAGACTATTATGCCCCTGTGCCATATGCTACATGACTTACAGCCATTTTGGTTGTAGAGGGTATGTGGTACACTGTAAAGCTTTTTCAAGAACTTTAGTTATCCCCATTTTTTACATCCATACAAGTACACTAATTCATTAACATAGTTTTTGTCCTACTTACAAAAATAACAGAAATATCAAATGTACAATAGGAAAAGGATATCATCTAATAACAGGTTTTTACAAATGGATAGTAATTACTATGAGATAATATGGTGAAATTTGGCAATTATTATTTATAAGAAAAGGCTTACCCTGTAGTTCTTCCATGGAGGATGCCATACAGGACGTGGCCATTTGCTTGGAATCCTTTCAATTAAAGCAGAAGTTGATGGATTCCTGATGACACAACAAATCAAGAAAAATTAACAACCATATCTTAGTATCTCAGTGAGAGAAGTATAGAAAAGCAACAAAATATACTTCAACAAAAGGAAAAAAAAAAAAAACTATGCAGCAAATGGAAAGGTCATTGATGCATATAGGTGTCCGTATGTTATCCAATCTGACAAAAATATAGTGTGAAGCAGATAATTGTCTAGAAAACATGGATATTTTAGGAAATGAACAATAACACATTTTACTTTGCAATTGAAACCAGTGTTTCTTTACAATCCTTCATAACTCTAGCCAAACAATAAAGGAGTTACAAATAATCATACTGGTGGCTATCTTTCATGTAAGCTAAATTATCAAAAGAAAAGAAAAGAAAAACTTTCATGTAAGCTAACAAAAGTTACTCGTTTTTTCCTTTTGGGTTGAAGAGAAGTAAAAGAAAACAAAAATATGCATCTAATGCATGAAAAGGGTGCTATTTGGTAAAATAACAGAAAGGAGCATTGTGAATACCTTTCAGATGTCCCAGGAACAGAGGCAAGGACCCCAGCAGTGCTTATATCTGGAAGACCTGCATCATTTCTGGCAAACATAAAACTAGTCAGCAACCACTCCAGTCAAGTGCCGGATCATCGCACATAAATAAATTGGTTTCATGCTGAGCCTACCAGGAATTTAAAGATAATATAGAATAGTGTTTAATTGACAAGAAAAACAGACATACGCTCTCTTTAGTTGCACGGATGGACCAACAACCAAAGAATTTTGAGCCCCTCCTGACTGCAGATCTCTAGAATCTTCAGGTCCTGAACATCATATTGCCAAAAAATCCTAAATTACCAGAAAAGCAATGAAAAATGAACCCTCAAACAACATTTTCTAAGCTAGCCCTTAGAAATGGTCCCAAGTATCCAGCAAGAAGGAAACAATTTACAGTCTGTAGCTCCGGCTGGATCTCCAAGATAAGAATTATGCACTGAGCATGATTCTAGAGCATAATAAGATGGAAACTGAAAGAGGTCCTAAATTATTAAGTAGTCAATTTAAAATAAAACTAAAACAGCTCCTATCTAAAACTAGAAAAATAGAACTTCTATCTAAAATAAAACCACAACAATTAACAGATAATAAAACCAACTGCCCTAAGACAAAGACTTGAACTAATAATAAGAGGGCATGTTGGTCACATGGTAATTTTGATCTTAAGTCAAACAGAAGTGATAAGAGTGCTAATTTCCAAATGCAAATTTGTTAAATATCATTACTGAAAATCTCAAATGAACCAATATTAAATATCATTTGGAAAATGCAGAATACCTAGTTATCAAGGTGTTGCCTAGGTGACAAGGTGTTTTCTGGGTGGCAGTTTTTACACCACACATGCATGTTAGGATTTAGGAATCCTCTTAGACAAAGAAATAAGGCAGACACCTTATCATATGTGGTATATTGTATTATGTTTTATTTGTTGTCTACGATACATCAGTTCATTTCTTTGTACTGAAATATTGTTCATTATTTATTTGCTCGAATTATCACAGCAATAATTCTGTGTTTGGATTCAATGTACTTTTACCTTGCTCATTTTTTCGATTCAATGTGTTGTAATACCTGTTTGTTTGGATTCATTATACTATCGATCTGTTTCTTTGCTTATTTTCCTAAATTCTTGAAAGGCTGACCACAGAAATCCATGCAAACAAATAACCAAAGTGCCTTCAAGCACTCCACAATTCAAGCCTGTGAAATTTTCAGTGTGTTTGTCCATCTCTGATTTGTATTACTTCAAGTAGCTTGTGTGATGTTAGATGCCTTGTATTCCTAATCCTAGGCCCCTTGAGGCAAATCCAAACAAGCCCATGTGGGGGGTTTGGAGGCAATGACACTGAACCAAATTTTTGGTCCTAAATATAATTTATGTTTTTCGTAGCAGTTCATTCTATTTTATGATTAGGGATCATAGATCAGTTGCATCGTTGTTGCATCTTTAGTAGAAACTTTGTTATTTAAGATCCTGTCTGCAACAACTAGGGCTTCAGGTATTCAAAAGTTTTTTTTTTCTTTTAAAAATTATGAGACCATTACCAGTGCATAAGCACAAATAAAAGGTAATTTAGAAGTTAATAGGTCATTACAAAGGTGTGAAAAAACATAAAAATAAGTAACCAAAAAAGAAAACTCATAAAAGGCATGTATCTGGACCAAGGCACAAGGCCCACAAGCACATGCCTAGGTGAACCAGGTCAGTGCCTTTCGAAAGGAGTTGCACCTAAGTTGAAGCAAGGCAAATGCCTTAAGATATGCCTTGCCTTTGCACCTAGGTGTGCCTGGGGCATATCTCTTAAAATACTGGATATAAATATGTAAAATAAAATGAATAAATTTCAAGTTTTCCCAAGATGAACATAACAAAATAAGCAAAATGAAATTACTAAAACCTTGATCTTCTCTCAATATCTTAGTTTGCAATAACTATCTTTTGACTGTTCCTATAGCATTACCACATAATCAGCACATGAGCTTTTACTAGCAATGACAGAAGAAAAGTAGGGATGCAAACAGATCAGATTGGATTCGAATCAGGGTATATCCGATCCGATCCGATAGTACATATCTGAGATCTGATCGGATCTCACAAATGGTGATTTGAATCTGAATCCGCTAAGGATGTCAGATATCCAAATCTGATCCAATCCAATTTACATTCTGAAAATTTTAATAAATTATTAAAAAGAAAAAAAAAACATTACAGTTTATATAAAGAAAAACAAAAAATATAAGTATTTTTCAACTATTTTCATCATATATATTATCTTTTTATAAAAAAAATTACAAAAAATGTAATATAAATATATTTATAAATAAGTATGTTAATATATACATGTATATTTATAAGTAAATATGTTTATAAATATATACATATATATAGGTTGGATCGGATCGGAGGTGATCCGAATTCGATCCAATTTTCAATTGGATCCTATTATCTGACCCAATCCGATCCAAAAATCCAACAGAGGGTTATCTCAATCCGAGAAAAATAGGATCGGCTTCGGATTGGATCATGATTCGATCCATTTCCACCCCTAAAGAAAAGGGTGCTGAAAATTGATGAGAAGTTGTATCAATGGTAAAGTAAAATAGGGAAGGAAAAATATTTTGAAATCTTGTGTTCTTTGTTTTACTTTTAAGCCCCCCTGGATCATGGCTGACCAATCAACCAATGTTCCAGATTTATATACTCACCGAACTTATAAATTAACCTCAAATTAGAAATATTAAAGAAACTAATAATAATAAATTATGCAAGAACAATCTAATACCTGGAAGAGCCAATACTTCAGAAAGAGCAGAAGCTTGATCTTTTGGAGCTGAATTGACTTGACTCGCAAGCTGGCTTGGCAAGTTTCTGATTGCCCCATATTCAGCATGTATCTTTGATTTGCACCAAACACCATATAAAAAAGTTACAAGGCAGATCACAGTTCAACGAAAGAGAAGCATTTCACAGAGGAAAGAAAACAAAATTGTAATAAACAAGAAACAAGAGGAACAAGAACATAAAGGTAATATCAAGGAACAAGAACAAGAACAAAATTGTAATAAACAAGAACCCTTGGCAGGGACAGGGAGAGCACTCCCTGGCTCCCCCCACCTCGGAGGTCCCCGCTTTGTGTGTGTGTGTGTGTCTTAAATTTGTGTAAATATTCTAAAACTATGATTGGATGTGCTTGAATATATTTCAATATGTTTGAATATATTTGGATCTATTTTGATAGGATTGTAATTGTAACTATTTTATTCAAAAAAAAGGAATGAAATGGAATAAAAAATAAGATGAATCTGACAGCATAAAAAGTGGCAAGGAGTGGGGATCCCCGACCAATCCTTGTTGAGATTGGGATGGGGAAAACCTTGTCCCCATTGGCGGGGACAAAGATGGGGATTTTCCTAGGGATGGTGATGGGGAGTAGCTCCCTGTCCCCCCTGCCCCATTGCCATTCCTATTGCCTTCATCTTATTTAGCATCTCTTTCACTTCATTTATTGTAATTTTATGAAGGCTCATGTTATTTATAACACTATTAGTATGATTAATATCTCCCTCCACTAATACCCTCTACATGTTGTTCATTTAATAATTTTGCAAAATAGTTTTTCCATCTTTCTTTGACTTCCTCATCTTTTATCAAAACTCTTTGATATTCATCTTTAATACACCTAACAAGATTTAAACCATTACCTTTCCTTTCTCTCATCCTTGCTAGTCTATAAATTCCCTTTTCTCACTCTTTAGTGTGCCTGGTTTATGATAGATCTCATCGTAGGCCTTAAATTTAACTCCATTTACTCTCTTTTTTAGCTTTGTTCTTTTCCAAGTCTTATCTATTTTTAGATTTTTGCCGATCTTTGTAACACGCTTGTTTTAACCCGAATATGTTTTTAACCTCTTCATTTCACCACCAAGTTTTTTTAGCACTTTTCCATTTCCCTTTAGATTCTCCTACAACATAAGAAAACCAAGGGCTATATTAACAAAGAGACAAACAAAGAAATATTTCATTCTAACATTTAAAATAATATATCATGAAAGGACACATTAATGCTCCAAGGAGTAAATAGAGCAAGAATAGACACCTTTCTTTTTCTCTAAACTTCTAGAGAGTAGAGAATATCCACCAACACCTACCCAACAACAAAGATCTAATATCAAGCATTCAAGCTCTTCCAAGCCACAGCCAACATAGTTACCATTCTTAAGGATTTTACTTGAGAAATATAAGAAAGCAATACCTACCAAAAATAAAGCTAATTCTCAAACCAATGAAACAAAGGCTCTAGCACAGTGATTATCTGTTGTATTGTACATTACTTCACACATTCATTCTGAACCTCTGCTAGTAATTTGAGAACAAGAAAGCTCCCCATTCAAAATATTAAAAAAAAATCACAAAACTACATTTTGTTCCTGAAAAGAAAAGCATAGTCAAAGAAGTTTTCATCATTCAATAACTTTATTTCCAATCTCCCACAAGCGGTTTAAACAATTCTCTCGTGTACATCTTTTTTGTCATTTAATGAAGTTTGAAGTTACTTGCTTCAAAAGAAAATAACAACAGACTATGGCTGTGTATGACATGCATTGCTAACATGGTAGACATGCCACTATTGTATTTTACTACGATGTTCTCCACCTTCTGATAACTTAATTTCATTGATTAGTTATCCCCTTACAGCATTATCACGCCATTCCAACTTCATCCACATCTATTTCATCCTAAACCTAAGCTCCGCTGGTTTTATCTGAAATGTTTCTGGTCTTCCCAATCAACTTGGTTCAGGCAAGTATGTTTCTCTGAAAAAGAAATTAAGATTGACCATGCCAACAACACTAGTGTACCTCCACAGAAACCCCTTATAACTTATGAGGGCGTTTGTACTACTGGCATTGGATAAGTTTATCAGTTTCACCCAAGACACTTCATGCCAAAGCAACCAAATTGTTGGTGTTACATTTCCTAAAAGTCCATCTTCATAAAAAAAAACCACACATCATCTATCTTAACTCCAATATGAATTCCATAATCACATAACATAATTGCAAGCCTATAAGATTATAATAACAAATGATGTATGGATCTTAATACAGGAAAAAAAAGTCTGCTCAGGGCTTCAACACCCTATGCAAAATGAGGGGATTGTTCAATATAAATGTTCTAATCAAGGAAAACAATACAAGTCATTTGTAAATTTATTCACAGGTCACGATCTTCATGTTTGACTATGTCTAATATGACCTCCCTAATCATGAATTGTGAGTCGGTGCTCTATTGGCATAAATCAATTCAAAGTTGCCCTTAACCATGGACATGGAAAATGTAAGCGCATGCTAATGATGGCCATCAAGCATCAATATGTATTTCAGCAGGGTCCCAACTCTATTGGAAGTCAAAACAGTTGTAACTTTGATTCTCTATTATCTTGCTATTTGTTGCAAAAATTGGGATAAGGATTACCCTCATGTCTCTTATGAATTATGATCTACTTGATCTGGCCCCTTCATGTTCAGATGATGGTTCCAACCAGCCTCTTTGGTTTACTAGGGCAACAAACCAGTATGTACTGCCTTGACATGCCTATATCAATTTTATACCGCAAATAAAGGTCATTAGTCATTACCCAAATACACGGTGTTAGATGGTCCTAGTTATTCGGGGTGTTGGGTGGTGGACCTGATATAGACCTGATCTTTGGCATCTTTTGCACAAAGTGGTTGCTCTCAGACCAACACAAGTTCTCATGCTTGTCAGACTGAGATTTTACCTTTGCACCAAACAATGTATTGTCCCCCTGCACATCAACAGTCTTGCTCGATGGCGAAAAATCAGGAAAAAAACTAACTATAACACTGTTAATTACACACCCAATGTTAACTATTACCTTGAGGGTTCTGCATGTTCCTCGAACCAGACTCTCATTCAGAAGAATGTGATATATATACCCCACAAAACTCATGACAAATAGTAATTGTCGCAGTTCTAGCTTGGGGATTGTGTGCTATAAACCATTTCAACGAAGATAAAAAAGGATTTAAATCGAAAGGTTTGCTCCGCATGTGAATTAACTAATCATAGCTAAATAATTTCAGAATAAAAACATTGGCACTCATAGAAACTAATGAAGTGGAAACCAGTTTAAGATGATACTGACCTTGTAGCTAATCCGCAACTTCTTACTGTGCCACATGCATACGAGGTAAAATAGAAAGATTAGAATACTATAACAACCAAATAATACTGAGAATGGAAACAGACGACAAAAAAAATCAAATTATACTGAGAATTGGTTCAAATAGAAGAACTTCATGGAAGCAAGAAAACAACTAAAGTAGGGGTTCCCTGGAGAAGTTTGGAAATATAATAGAGAGAAAAAAATAAAGCATGGATACCTCTCAGGATCGGGAGGGGCGAAGTGGCCATGTATGGGGGAGAAGAGATCGAGTGCTCGTTTTAATGACTTGAAGCTGAGTTTCTTCAAGGACTGTGGCTCGACAGGCTCCATCTCCGACGTCGGCCCCGGCATCTCTTTCCCTCTCTATTTTACTTTCGGCTGACTAAAGAGGGCGTGGCCAGAATGCTAACCAAAATAGAGGGGACTAGGGGAGGGCCGACAGTGTGCAAACTGTACCGGGTTAACTCGGACCCAACTCGAAAAAAATAAAGTGAGATTGGGTTGGTTGAATGTCGGGTTGACGTTGAAAAATACGAACCCGGCCTAACTTCCGCTTGAGACCAGCTGACCAGGGAAACCGACTCAACAATATACCGGATAGACACGATATGCCATGCACGTATCCAATCAAAACTCATCAAGTGGGTGTTTGACATCGATGTTGTTTTTTGAGAAAACAGCGTCATATCAGAAAAAAACGGTGCTTCGGAAAGTGGCCTCTTATTTGATACCGTTTTTTCAAAACAAATATTGCTTTATACCACATATTGGAAATCAGGAAAGTGTAGTCTAAAGTAATACCAAATTTGATATTTTCTCAAAAACAGCTCATTGTTGCTAGCAGTGCAATGATATAGCATCAATGTGGCATTATCTTAGACATTAGATAATATGACCAATATTGAAAACGGTTCTACTATGGTACCAAACAAAACCAATGTTGTTTTCCTATAAAACATCCTATGTGATAGCACTGCTTCCAAACAAAAAATAAACATTATTTTTTTAGAAAACAGTGCTTACAACTTACACATGCCCAACACCGTTTTTATGAAAAAATGGTACAATGTTCAAACACCAATGCCAAATACCTACCAAATTTCATACTTTTTAAGTCAAACAAAGCATCAAATTCGGGTTCTCTTTGGTCAAAGTTATTCTACTATCATGTTGCATCATGGCTATCATTATGTAGGGATTTGGGATTATAAATTAATTCCACCTCATAAATTTTTATATGTTTGTACAAGTAGTAAGTGACAAGTGAGGGAATTTATTACAATACAAGAGATTCTATAGCATAGGTGGGGGCTCGAAACAATTTATTAAAAAACGATAAAAATTTGTGATGAATAGCAAACCATAAATTCCCTCTTTATCGTACTCTAAATGACTAACTCATTGATTGATTTAAAGATTTAAATATTTAGATAATTACCATTTGCAAGTATTAACATTATATGGTGCTATTAAAATATTTTAATTTAATTCAGGGAAATATATTTAAACATATCTTGAATTTTCATAAATTGACTTAAACATACCCTAAGATTTTTAAATAGATTCAAATATACCTTGTGCGCTGATCCTATTAGACTAAAACGTACCTCCATTAGTGAAACAACTCATTTAATAATTTTCAAATCCTATTTTACCCTTTCAGATAGGGAAAGGAAGAAAGATAAGTGAGATGGAAGAAGAAGAAAATTAAGCCATTTCTAGATTAAAATGCACCAATACAACCCCTTTCATCATATTGGGGTGCATCAATATTTTGAACCTTGTGGAAGTAATGATGTCAATAGCTTGGGTTAAACGAAACTTCACCTTTTTAAACTGATATTATCATATTGGATTTGGCATTTGAGGCACCCTGGAGTAGGTTTTTAAAAACAAACATGAAGCCTATGTTGATTTGTTTTCCTTATAGGCTGGTCAGCCCATGATAGTGTTAGACAGTTTATGTATGCCCTTAGCTTCAATCTAATTTGATGTACTTTTGTTATTTAGTGGAAATAAATAAAGTGCATGTTTGATTCATGTTGTTTGGTTTAATTCTGTGTAAAAC